AAGCCAGCCTCTTTCATCTTCTGGTTCTTCACAACAGCAGTTTCGAGCTGTGAGTTGGCAGAAGCACCAGCGTGGCCGAATTGAACTTCGGTCTTGAACATGCTGGCGCAAGTTCCGATAGCCCAGGCGACAATTGGCTTGGTGATTTGGCCCTTCTTCACAGCCTCGATCACTCGGTATTCCTCAACACCACCAACCTCACCGAGAAGCAAGAGAATCTTGCATTCTGGCTCTTGTTGGTATCTGAGGAGGTGGTCAATGAAGGAAGTTCCGGGATATCTGTCACCACCGATGGCAATACCCTCGTAGACACCATCGGTGTTTTGTGAGATGATGTTGTTGAGCTCGTTGGACATACCGCCGGATTTGGAGACGTAGCCCACGGAACCTTTGCGGTAGAGCTTGGACGCAACAATGTTGTCCATCATACCACCAGTATTGCCGATCTTGAACGCACCGGGCTTGATGCCACCAACGGTGGCGGGCCCAATGATTGTGATTCCCTTCTCCTTTGACTTGACCATGATCTCACGGGCACGTCGTTCAGGCACACCTTCGGCAATGATGGCAATGCTGCGAACCTGAGGAATCTCCATCAGCTCCATAGTGGAGCTATAGACGGAACGTGAAGAGGCGAAGTTGACAATTGTGTCCACATCAGGGTGTTTCTCAAAGGCCTTCTCTACGGACTGGTAGACTGGGAGGAGAGTCTCGCTGGTACCCCAGTACATCTTGCTGACGAATTGACCGCCAAAAGTGTAAATAATACCGGCCACGGACGGGGTCGATCTCTTGCAGATGAAGTCGAAGTCCAGCATGCCCTGGACGGCTTTGGGCTGCATACCACTGTTGGAACTGTCAGACCTCGTGCGCCCTCTTGTCCAAGGAATTACTTACTAGACAAAACATCTGGTCTTGTTGTGGAAGAGGGCATTCTGGGATGGGCTCAGTCCCCTCGAGGGAGGAGCGAATCGACGAATGTTATCGTTGGCAGAGAAAGGAGTCTCGGAGTCTATGTTGTCGCCATTGGGAATGTCAATCGTGGGCACACCATTGCTGGCGGCGCCAGATGTAGCAGAAGGCATAGCGGAAGCGGCGTGCTCAGGGGAGTTTTGACGGACTGGAATGCCCATTGTGTTAGCCAGCTGAAGCGGAGGACAGTACTTGGTAATGAGAAGACGACAGTACAAGTGATGGAAAGACAAGAGAGAAACTCTAGCCTTCAGTCGTCTGACCAGGAGAGTATAATAGGAGGGAGGGGTGTGTAAGGGGACAAAATGTTCAACGCAGATCTTGGTGAAGCAATAGATACTTTCAATGGGACTTACAATAGGGAAGGGGGCTGGTTGTTGAGTTTTGGAGGGCAACAGAAAGAGATTGAAGCAAACTGCGTGGAAATGAGCAGAGATCAAAATCGCCGACGAGAAGAAAAAGTTGTGGCCAGAGGAATTGAGCCCGGTGTTGGTGGTGGATGAGATGGTGTTCACTTTCTCTCCCCCAAGGGTACAACAAAGGGTCGCCCGCCAGTGCGCAGTTGTGGAGAGCGCAGATGATGCTGAGGGACCTGAGGGACCACACAGGGTGCGCCGACTGGATTAGGGATCGTCTGTTGAGGCAGGTCCGGTTAGTTAGCTGCGCGACCCAACCGTGAGAAGCTCCTGGGCGAATGCCCGAAAATAGGAATTGGCGGCCCCCAATATTGTGTTGAGGGCAACCATCAACAAGCCCACCACCTCTAGGCTCTAGCACATCCCGCCATGGACCAGCAGACTCTCCGGGCGGTGAGAATTGGAGTGGGGGGACTTGGACATGGACGGCCCACTCGCCACTCAAGCCTTTCAGCCCAGGGGCACTATCAGCTGCCACTATACCTTATTGGGGCCCCAGAACTGGGAGAGGCTGAAGACCCCTGGAACCATATCCGCTGAGTCTGCAGGGAGCGGGCCTGAAGGACTATTGAGTCACCTATCGATTGGGAGGAAAAGATCGTTCTCGCGTGCCCGACTATTCGGAGTCCGGCCCCCGTAACAAGTGCACGTCGTATCTCGTAGCCCGGTGGAACTACAACGCATTATGCAGCCTATACCCGCCTCCTCCAGGGCAACTATTCCTCGTATCTGTCCAGATTCACCGAAGCTACTCGTACAATAAAACGCTCAATCGGTGCTCGAAACCGAGCCAACTGGAAATTTGGTGCTGATAGTCATCATGTTTCGGTCTTTGTGTAACTCAAAGAGTGAAAGAGGTGGTTGGATTCCCAATGGATGACTGGTAGTTCGGCATTACAATCTTCTTCAGTCTCAACGTCACAGGGCCAATATATTTTTTTTGGCGGTGACCGACAGTTGGGGATTGTCGGTCAAACACCATGGAGACGAGAACGATGGACGATGGAGATGGCGGGCGGTTTGTCCCTGGCGTTGGCGCGGGCTAGTAGCCCTGTCTCCACACCCTAAAACACATGCTGAGAATGCCCCTCGATAAGTTTAGCACGCCTAGCTCACGCCCAAAGGCACTACCCCTGCCCCCAACAACCCACACGTCAGGGCTCTAGGGGAAGGGAGGGGATCCACCCGAAAAAAGTCGAGGGCAAGCAATTATTGTTTCCCTCCGAAGTCCAACTGTAAACTGAGCCAAACAGTGAAATCTGGCCCCCAGCTGTGTTCATACTGTTCCTCCTTACAACTCACATTCGCACTTTCGATTCGGCAATTCAGACTTGATCTCCTTGTCTATTGTCTTTGCTGTCTTCTGTCTTCCTAAGTGTTTTCTATCTCAAAAATCCTGGACAAATATTCCCAATTGACTGTCCCTGAACCCTTCGTACTGTTACCCCTCACCTCACCGCCGCAACAATGTCAGCAAAGTCCATTCTCGAGGCCGATGGCAAGGCAATTCTCAACTACCACCTCACTCGTGCTCCTGTTATCAAGCCTACTCCGCTAAAGGCTTCTGGAGTCCATAACCCTCCTCCCAAATTGGCCTCCATCTTCTTCCCCGAAGATCAAGCAGTGTCAACTGTTCTGGACCAAGCTGAAGCCACCTATCCCTGGCTCCTTCAACCAGGCTCGAAATTCGTTGCAAAGCCAGATCAACTGATCAAGAGAAGAGGAAAGAGCGGCCTTTTGGCCTTGAACAAGCCCTGGTCAGAGGCTAGGAAATGGATCGAGGAGAGAGCCCGCAAGGAGGTCAAGGTCGAGCATGTCACAGGCATACTCTCCCAATTCCTCGTTGAACCCTTTGTGCCTCATCCTCAAGACACCGAATACTACATTAATATCAACTCTGTGCGAGATGTGAGTTCCCGCCACCATGTGCCCTCATTTGCCGCAGTTCACAGGTTAACAGCGATCTTTAGGGTGATTGGATCCTCTTCACCCACGAGGGTGGTGTGGATGTCGGTGATGTTGATGCAAAGGCCAAGAAGATCCTGGTCCCAGTCGATCTGAAGAGGTTCCCTTCAAATCAAGAGCTGGCTGCGACTCTGTTGCCAGATGTGCCCAAGGGTGTCCACAATGTGCTGATCGACTTCATTGTTCGATTGTACTCCGTCTACGTGGACTGCCAATTCACCTACCTTGAAATCAACCCCCTGGTCGTTATCCCTAACGCCGCAGGCACCTCCGCCGAAGTCCACTTCCTTGACCTTGCTGCCAAACTCGATCAAACGGCCGATTTTGAGTGCGGTGTCAAATGGGCTATTGCCCGAAGCCCTGCTGCTCTTGGCCTTCCCGGAGTTAAAGCCGATGGAAAAGTGACCATTGACGTTGGACCGCCGATGGAGTTCCCTGCACCTTTCGGCCGTGAGCTCAGCAAAGAGGAGAAGTACATTGCGGACATGGATGCAAAGACTGGTGCTTCGCTCAAGTTGACCGTTCTCAATGCCAAGGGCCGAATCTGGACTTTGGTCGCTGGTGGTGGTGCTTCGGTGGTCTACGCCGACGCTATTGCCTCCGCCGGGTTTGTCAGCGAGCTGGCCAATTACGGTGAATACTCCGGGGCCCCAACTGAGACCCAGACGTACAACTATGCGAGAACTGTTCTCGACCTGATGCTCCGCGCACCCATGCACCCTGATGGCAAGGTGCTCTTCATTGGTGGCGGTATTGCCAACTTTACAAACGTCGCCTCAACGTTCAAGGGTGTCATCCGTGCACTCAGGGAGGTGGCCCCGTCCCTCAATGAGCACAAGGTTCAGATCTGGGTTCGTCGTGCTGGCCCCAACTACCAAGAGGGTCTCAAGAACATCAAGTCCGTTGGTGAGGAGTTGAAGTTGGACATGCATGTTTACGGCCCAGAGATGCACGTCTCAGGTATCGTACCCTTGGCTCTTCTCGGCAAGACGTCGACGGTGCCCGAATTTGGTGCTTAAGATAAGAACATGATTTTTTGATGGTTCCATGTCTTTTGATCTAGAGCATACCGAGATATCACTACGACCCTTTTGACGATGGTTTGGCAATGGGGGGCGGGCGATGGGAAAAGAGCGGTTGCAGGCTAGGTATGTTTCTTTACCGGGAGTTCAACTTGGCAACTCTGTTGTTGAAGAGGAAGCATTATGGTGCGCATGGGTGCCGTGTACGACACCAGACATGAGTTCAGCGGTCGTTTTCACGTCATGCTAGCAGAACAGAGGGTCATGGGGGACTCGAGTAGAAAGGGCCAAGCAAGCGACTTTTTTTGTAAATGAACAAACATTAGACCCGAGGCGGTAATGAAATCTATTCTGCTTCAAGCAATTTGGTAGTACAGCACGCTTCTGTCTTTCATGCCGCACAGTGACTAAGGTGAGGTCATTTTTGTATAGAGAGATTGCATGTCCACAAGTACAGAAACCCGGATTAAATTCCACCCCAATGAATAAGCCCACGATTGCAGTATTTATGCCAGAATCCATCACAGTCGTTGCAATTCCCTTTTTTGCGCCGATTTGAGTAGTCAATCACAGCTGTCAGCCGCCCACCTGCCCACCCACCCAACCCCGATGCCACTTTGTCTTTTTACTCGACCAAAACGACCCGACCACCGCTCAACTCATCAATGTAGGCCATCTTGCCGCACCCTTGGGTTTTGACGGCGTCTTGTTCTCTCAGCAGGACCGCGAGGACTTCGATGGGCGGCTCGAGACCGAGGCTGTTTGCGCGCCGCCAGCGCTGGAGACGCGGGATGCCAATGCACGGACCGTATTGGGACGAGAGGTCGAAGTGGCGCAGGATCTTTTCGTGGAGGGACAGGTCGGATTGGTGCACTGTTGTCGGGGTATGGGTTAGTATGGGCATGGCAGGGGAATTTGCAGGCAAGGTTGACGGACTGGGAAGATGTTTTTCAAGAGAATAGATGGATGAAAGGGGATTCGGGACTTGGTAGGTAGACAGTTGTGTGGAAGCGTGGGGAAAACGAGTGTGTTCAATGGTGTTTGACATCCGTAGAAAACGTGCATGCTGTGGGGAAATGAAAACATACCTCTAGGAGCAAGCCGACTGTCCTCCTCGGCCTGCCAGTATTTCTTCAGTTGCGAATCCGTGACCTTCTCGGCTGCGAGTTCACGCTGGTCCTTGTCCCCGGCAGCTTGGACCTTTTGCTTCCTTCTGGACCTCGTCTTGACCTCCACCTCGATCTCCTCTTCTACCTCCTCTTCCTGTTCTGCCTCTTCCGGCTCTACAATTTGACTTGGTACCGCTACCTCCGCCTTGGTATCTTGCGAGCCCTCCTCCGTCTGCTCTGAGGTCAATTCATTCTTAACCTCCACCACCTCCGGCTCAGTCTGCGACCTGTCTCTGTCCGCGACCTCTACCAGCTTCTTCGCCGAAGCGCTGTGCTCGTCTCTCTGCGAATTGGCGCTCGGCTTCGTCACCCGCGCGGACTTGTTGTTGAAGGAGAGAGTCGACTGGAGAGATTGGCTAGGCCGAGTGGCGGATTTCCGAGTCCGAGGCATGTTGGTGCGCTCCAGATCTTGTGCGTGGGCGAACTCCGTGGAAAGAAGTGAGGCTGTGAGTTCCAAGATTGTGATCTATACACTGATACGGAGTGTGCTGTAGAAAATGAAGTTGGTAATTTGTATTTTGCGAGAGTTGGTCGTGAAAAGAGAGGAAGAGGGGGAGTTTGATAATATCAAATGTGAATGAATGACGTTCGAACCGGCTGCCTCAGCAACCAGGCTTTAAAGTTCTAGCTTCGGCCATAATTTGTTGCCGCCTAAGCGACGCAAGTCAAATTCCGGGACCCTATTGGTGGTCCAACGCGCGTCGTGTGTAAAGCAGCATCTAATATACGCGTTCCCACTTACAACTCTATCCCTGTCCCTCGGAGCTTCATAGTGGCATGATGGCAGCATCATAGCAAGTGACGACATTTCTGAACTACAACTACTTACACTTCATACGAGTAGCCAAGCCAACACCGTCAGAGAACTAGGGAATGAGCATGAGCAGACGACATTCGACAGGTAATATAGCCGCGATTTCGCTCAATTCGCTCAATTACGTAGAAGATCGGAAGAATCAACGAGAGCCGCTACATCCCATCGTAAAGATGGCGTTATACTTTAATTTATGAGGTTCCCGGCTGTCCGGACAGCTTTCCGGATTCCTGTCAAATACTTGTAGGCACTAGGTCGCTGGGAGTGTAAAGTACTTATACTGTACGTCCCTCGCCTTTCCAGTAGTAGCGTTGGGGGGCGTGAGTCCAGGTACGAGGAATATAAGGTCACAAGGCGCCTCATCTAATACCCTTCTAAGCCATAGCTACCTAGGTAGCTAGGGAGGAATGACACCAATTAGCTGCCTTGTCTCAGTCGCTCGTTTCATCAGTCTCATTCCGTAGTCTCCATCGAATTTACTCGCCCGGAGATTCGCTGCTCATCTGTACAAACTCCCCTATCTGTTCCACCAGGAGGCAAACCTCCCGCAACTTCTCCGTCTTGTCCCGACTCACGTCGTATTCCTTCGAGTAAGCTTCGTAGAGCACCTCGTACCGGCCAAGCACCTCCTCAGCCTGGGACAGCAGCGCCTCGTAATCTGCCTCTAGCTCCTGCTTGGCCGCTTTGACCTGTCCACGATCCGCTTCGAGCGCGGAGACACGAGGGAGGATATTGTGTCTCACCCACGAGGATAACGCGTTTGCGTGACTGATGAGATTGACTTTGTTCGCCTCTGTGCTCGGCAACGACGCGAGCGCCTTGAGATTGTCGGTCCAGTCGTCGAGGAAGCCCTCAGTGAGCCGAGCAAAGGACGATGGAGTCGTGGGGAGTTTTGTCTCGGTGGACTTTTTCTGGCGGTTGTCACTTGTCATGGCTGGGTCGGTGCCATCGCTTGATGCGTCGTCGGATAAGGCCGCCAGCTCTTCCTCGAGAGTGAGACCGTCTATCTCGGAAAGGTCGTCATACAGGTCAAGAGCATAGCCTTGACCGGCTTCTGGTGAATGGTTGACTGAGGCTGAGGAGGCGTCCATCTGTCGTGGAGGAGTAGTCAAGCAGAGGTAAGAGGTGGGTTTTTCAGATTGAGCAGTCCTTCCTGGGGGAGTTATTGTCGTAGGAGAAAGACTTCGGGGGATTTTCTGTTGCCGATGGGATATCCGAGTCAAAATCCCGCAGTGCTGAACAAGGAGACCTTTGGCGACAAGAGCTGGTGTCGAAGTCGTTTTCAAACTCTGTGAGATGTCCGCGAATTCACTGGCAGACTGTACAGAACCGACTGTTAGTGAAAGATGAAAGGCAGAATAGAGATCGGCGGTGCTGGAGAACATCTCGACTTTCGTTCGCCTTGTGAAATATACATAACTTCCCACCATCTTTTATCTCGTATCTAGTTCGACGCCTTCTTGACCATGTTCAGGCACATCTTCAGTCCCATCCAATATGTCGTTTTCATGGCTGTAATCATCTGCAAAATTGCCACGTCTATCATCTCCAGCCACTCTCGTCCATCCGCTGACAGTCCGAGGACTGAGTTTTAGTCGACCACGTGAAAGATCGTTGATCTTATCCGCAATGTACTCACCAATCCTCCCGAGGACATCGACGAATCTCTCCTGCTGTATTGCTGACTCGTCCCTCGCAGCCGCCGAATGCTCTTGTGCCTCGACCTTGACTTGGTATTTCAGGCAGTCTTTGACAGTAACCAACCCTTCGAGACGACCATGATGATCGACGAGGATCACCCGTGGACCCATCTTCTTGAAAATCTCCAGCACTGTCTCAAGCGGTAAACGCGGATGGACGGTTATAGGAGTCGCATCAACAAACGGGCTAAAGTCCACGCTTCGTACCGTCGCCGAATCCAGAGTGACAGTCGGACTGAGGGGGGTTGGTGTTTCAGTACCATCCTCTCGCTCCGTCGCAAATATACATTTGGCATCTGAGGCTAACGCGCCCTGTCTTTTTGCGCGATCGATGGCGAATTGGAGTTCGGTCCTCCCGATATAGCCCACGAGGATTTTCGAATCCTTGTCTTCCACGATTGGAAATCCCGAGTAGGATGTGTCGTCGAGTAGTTTCGCCACAGCCTTGACCTCCATTCCGGTTGCAGGAAGTATCGTAATATTACTGGTCATGACCTGGGACACTGACACCCCAAAGGAATGTTCTTCTTTGTTGTCGAGGAACGGAAAGCCACTGAAGGAGATCATCCGGTCTGCGATACCCGACTTACTGAATCGGTCCCCCACGGCCTTCGTGACACCGACCACAATCATGGTCGGAAGGATATATGTCAACGCCCCGGTAAGCTCAAACATGATGACAGTGACCGAAATTGTCAGATGCATAATCCCACTCAGTGCTGCACCCGCCCCTAAAAAGGCGTACGTGCCCGGGGTGATGCATGGCACGTCGGGCTGGCAAGCGGAGAAGAACTTTGAATCCGGAAAAGTCTCATACAGCCATTGTACCATCATGCCCAACATGCGGCCAAAGGAGGCTCCAATCGCCATAGACGGCACGAATATACCCGCGGGCACTTTGCACCCGTAGGAAATGATAACAAAGAATATGCGCAAGAGAGTTGCAACCAGCAAAGAACCAATAAGGGAGAGTCGATTCTTTGCCTCGCAGAGTCCGTTGTAGTCGTAGTCACCCTCGCATTCGCGGAACAACATCTCCATCATCTCGGTCATGTCTATTCTGAGGAACATATTGGGGTAGCAAAGAAGCGCCGTGGCACCAGCCAGAATCACGGCTTCTGGGATCGCGTACTTGGACAAGTATTTCTTTCGGAACGCTTGAGCCTTGAGGTTCCACTTTATGACGAAGGCTCCGTAAAGCCCACCGAAGATGCCCAGGATAATGTAAAAGAAGACCTCGAAAAAGTGCCAGTCTCTGTCGTACTTGACGGAGAACATGACCAGCTGACCAGTGCGGAAGGGATTCATCGCACTCAGCACGGCAGTCGCAACAAGAGCGCAGAAATAGCTCCTCCACAAGGTCTTGAGCGGGAAATAAGATGCCATCTCTTCGAGGGAGAACAGCACACCACCAATCGGACTGCCGAACGCGACGGCCACTCCAGCTCCGGCGGTTGCTGTCAAGATCTCGCGGGTCTTGGAGGCGCTTCGTTTGTACTTGCCGAAGAATCGAGAAATGACATTTCCCACGCAGACAGCGTAATGTACACTTGGGCCCTCTTTGCCCACCGAGAGGCCAGAAGCGATAGCCAGAGGGAGGCAGATGGACTTGATGAAAAAGGTCCAGAACCCTAGAAAGCCCTTCATGACGAAGCCCGCAATGATGCACTTGATCTCGGAGATGCCGGAGCCGGCAGCATAAGGAGCGTAGGACTTGACCAAGTAGGCAGAAACGAAGGCCAGCAGCACGGCGAAAATGGCGTAGATGAAGTAATTGACAATGGTGACCGAAGTCCATCTGTGCCACTCGTCACAGCCCTCCTCGGAGCCGTAACAGCAGAAGCCTTCATTGAGATACCAGGCGGTCGTGCAATACCCCATTTTGATGTCGGACAACCACTCGGTGATGATGTTCAGCGCGGCGGCATTGAGGCCAATGACAATGCCGACCAGCGTAATGACGATCCATGCCTGCGCCGCATCATAGGACTCCCACAGTTTGCGCCGCCAACCCAAGACGCCATCCCGTTCAAAGAACTTTGTCTCTCTCCGGCGGGTGCGACGCCGCAGTTGTTCTTGAGCGGCATCTTGGACCCAGTCAATGGTGGTGAAATCTTCATATCTTTTTATCTCTGCAATCTCTTCCGTGATAGCCTGCGCCGCCGGTGCAACAAGGGGAGGAGCCTCGCCATTTTCCAGGCCTGACAGGGACGAGAGTCGCCTGGTAAGTCGTCGGGCTGAGATGGACGGTCGACGAGTGGTGCCGGAGGCGGAGGCGGAGGCGGATGAGGGAGAGAAGACGCGCGAGGTCATAACATCGGATCGATTAGCATGGCCAGAGGAACATTCCGAGCAGATGCTGGTGGTATCTTTGAGAGTCTTTAGAAGCAAAGAATTGAGGCTCCCAATGCAGCACATGCGCCTTTGCGCCGTGACGCCCGAAATGTCGTCCGCCTTTCCTCTTTGGGACGCGCCCAGAACGTGACATTTCCATATGAAATGTGTCGACGCGACTTGTTGCTTCTTCAAACACTCAGTATCAACTTGTCTGCCAGTCTCAACGAAGCAGATCGGCGCTTTTCTAGTCTTGGATATATCGTGCTCATCCACCGCTCTTTCATACAGCGTCTGGAACGCAGTCTACTGCTCCCTGGCACGCGTCGTGGTATTCATTACTCCTGAAGAAAAAGTTCCAATCCAGGCCCATCCGACGAACAGGCGTTGCCCCTGCCGAAATTGTGGGGGGATCTGAGCAAACCCCAGCTTGAAAGACATTTCCTTACCTCGGCCAGAAAGACATCTCAAAAGAAAGATAAAGAGCAGACATCGCTCCCTCACGACTATGCCTTACAACAATGCCCCGATTGAACCCCCCGAAGAGATAACGGGCTCAACCGCTCTTCCCCGTTAGTCATCACCCGGGTTTCTTCATTGATGCGACCAACACTGCTGACCATCGCGAACAAGTGGCACGGGTCAAGAAGGTCATTGCTCAGGATGAGGACATTACACAGTGCTCCAATCCAGCGGCCTTTGCGATATCAGTGGCGACAGTACGTTGTCCAGGGTCTCCCCCCCTCCCAAAGTCGAAACCCTCAAGGGAGGTGGACTGATCGCCATCCGCTAGGAAATATTTATCCGCTATCTAACCGAACAAGCACACAATGTGGTCAAGTCAGAGCGGAAACCCAGGAGGAACATTGCCTACAAAGACATAGGTAAGAAAGAGATCGAAGCCTCAGGGACTCGAACTTGGTCGAGATCAGCACGCTCTTTGTATCACGTCTTACTGACAAACTTTTATTCACAAAAAACAGCCACGGCTGTGTCTAGGGTAGATAACCTCGAATTCCTATCCGACACGGTCCCCAAGACCAAAACGTACCGTCAATTCAAGGAGGAAAAGGCGCGTGAGGCCGCTGCTAAGGCCGCAGAGACGGGGCCGGTGAATGGGGTCAATGGCGTCGGCGGCGAAAGCAGCACCCTCTTGATCCAGACTATGATGAAGAACGGATATCGTCAGCAGCAGCAGCAGCAGAACGGCATCGTTAACGGGGTGGTGAACGGCAGCACACCAGTGAACGGGGTTGACGTGCACCATCCTTCGTCCAGCGGCCACCACTCACGCAACCACAGCCATCCCGACCCAATTAGGGACATTGAGATGAGTGGATGATAGCATGAAGTGTGCGGTATCGAGCCGAGTTGTTGGGAACGGAAAAGGAGTTTTTTGCATAAACACATGAAAATGAAAGTGTGTCATGACATGATGACTGGTCCTTGGAGGTGCTTCAAGAGCAGAGAGAGAGTGTGTTGCGGGAGACGTCTATCTACATGTCCAGGAGTAAGGAGCATAGCACACCGACTCAGTCGGCCACTTTTCCATTCATTGGGGAATTGGCTTGTTTGTTGACACGGATGAAATACGTACATACGCATACAAAACAACGTATATTGGCATACCCATTTACCTTGTGGCGTTGAATGCTTGTCAATTCAACCACAGCCAACGTCCTTGTAGCGGGGAGACAAGCCAATTAACGAGTGTGCTTCTACCATGATGAACGACGCCTAGTTGGATTGGTTAGTGGCTACCTACCTACCTAGAGAGTTGGCTAGTTGATGGAAGGAAAGGAAGGAGATATTCCCTGGTTATCCCTGCATCTGTATATCTGTATATCTGTATATCTGTATATCTGTATA